TCCAGTGCTCTGCTGTTTGACTTCCTCTTTGACTGGATGGATGCAGACAAATCACTTAATCTGTAAGGGCCTCAGTCTCCTCCTGTATGAAATTGTGGGGATCGGACTAAAAGGCCCTTAGGTTTCCTCTGGCTTTCCCATTTCTTTGGTTCTGAACAACATTTTGGGAGTTGTCAACTATAGTCACTGTTATCTATGATTCTGGGTAATGATTCTATCATTGGGCCACAAATAATTCTTTCCTGTGGAATACAAAGGGCTTTCATAAATGTGTTAATGAATATGTGACATTGATGTTTTACTTTAGCTCTTGAATAAACTGAAGAAATCAACTGAGAAATTGGAAAAGGAAGATGAAAATTACTACCAAAAGAACTTGGCAGGCTGTTCTACCAGACTGAAATGGGAAAACACACTAGAAAACTGCTACCAGGTAAGTTATGCATTTGCATTTTTTCTTCTTTTACTGAGCTTGGTGTGACCTTGAAATTGGAGCTCAGATCTATAGTTATAAGACCTGCTCTCTGTCTGACCTTCACTCATATTGTGACTATAGACAAATCACATTTTCTCTCTTCATTTCAATTTCTCCATGGATAAAATAATTATCAGTGGAAAATTATTGGGCATCATTGGCCGGGGTTTCCATGCTGTCAAAGTAAAGGGTAAATTAAGGCTCAGGTATTAGGTACTCAGAAGTGAGCTTTAGGCATGAGAGCTGATTCATACAATGTCCACAGATGGGTGCCAGGCATTGAGTGTATAGCAATGAACAGTGTACCACCTTGACACTTGAGACATGCACTTAGTAGCAAAAACAGGCACATGAGGCGTGGCCCCCATAGCTCAGTGAGTAGGGCACCAACCACATACACCAAAGGCTATCAGGTTCAAGCCTGGCCCAGGCCTGCTAAACAACAATGACAACTGCAACCAAAAAATAGCTGGGCATTGTGGTGGCTGCCTATAGTCCCAGCTACTTGGGAAGCTGAGGCAAGAGAATTGCTTGAGCCCAAGCGTTTGAGGTTGCTGTAAGGTATAAAGCCATAGCACTCTACCGAGGGGGACATAGTGAGACTCTATACCACGCCCCCCCCCAAAAAAAAAACCCCAGGCAGATAAAAATCATTTAATAAAAAGAGGCAAAAGATATGAACAAGCAAATCACAAAAGGGGAAATCAAAATCACCAATAAACATACAAAAAAGTGCTCAATCATTTTGCAAAAATTAGACGTTGACAATATGTCAAGGATGTCCCCTGATAGTGGGAATAATTTAGTGAATGTGCATGTACCAACAACACAGCAGTTCCCTTTTAGGTAAACATTCTAATGAAAAATTTACACCTGTACTCCGAGAGTGAGGCATAGGAATGTTTATTACAGAAGTTTGTGTACTGAGAGGAAAATGTACACAAGCTTCATACCCCTCAGGAGAATTATTCTTAAAATGTGCTTTTATTTGGAAAGTGGACTAATGTCCAGAAGAAGTTAATTAAATCTATATTTAAACATAGATTAACCTAAAAAATATGTTGAAGAAAAGAAATAGACAATGTATACAGTTATGTAAATTAAAGTTTTTAAACTCACACCCAAACTATACTGTATTTATAAACATGTACATATGGACTGGGCCTGTGTTGAGTAGAAGAAATGGAGCTCATGGTGGGAAATCACAGGGCTCCCCCATACGGCCCCACAGCTGGTGCAGGACCCCTGGCAAAGGGGTACAACCACCCCAGGCTTGAACATTACCTCAACTACATATGAATAGTTTAGCTCTCTGTTTTTTATGTCAACATAAACACCACCCAATTAATTGTCAATTCAGGATGGTAAGAACATGAATATTTTTTGCCTTATTTTTCTCCACTTGTTTTAAGTTAAAAAACCATTGAAAGCAGGTTGCAAGTGGAAAAAGAAATGATTGAATGGCCAACGGGTAATGAGTGCTCTGCCCTCTCCTTCCTAGGCACGGTGCTAAGTACATTACATATCTGCATTCATCACAACACTATAGGAAGGCGATCATTTATTCCCAAATTATATTTGTGGAAATTGAGGCTGGAGAGACGAAGTAACTTACCTTAGATGGTTTCGGGATTCTGCCTGGGCCCTGCACTGGGGCCTCCTCTCCCACTAGGAGAGGGGAGACCATATGCAAGCAGACATGAAGGGCTGTATTGAAACCTCTCACAGGTCAGCACTTTCAAGGTAAGGTAGATGCAGAAGTAGGGAAGAAAAGGGAACTCAGAGGAGAGATCAAAACTTGGGTCAAGAGAAGTAATGAGAAGACACTCTAATTTACACCTTCAAACGTAGGCTCCGGGTACACCCCCTACTTACACTGAACAGGTTTGAGATGAAGGTGATGAGAAAAGTCCAGGGATTTAGATTTCAGCTTTGTTCACTTGAAGTCTGGCTCACCCACCTGGGCTCTGAGCTTGCCTCCCCTCCTAGGACTTCTCAATGAAGCTGTTGCCTTTCTACCAAAACCAGCTTGCCTGTTATGAAATGGGAAAGACATTTCTACTCTCATTCTGTTTTCAGGCACTCTTCAAAGGCTGTGAGAAACTATTTCATCTCCGTGTCCCCATCCTTCTCACCTACGTCACAGCAATGGGAGACAATGGGTCCTACTTGGTACAGCTAGCAACTAGCTGGCCTGCAATACATGTTGGGTACTGCTGTGACTACGCTCATTATCAGAGGCTCTTACTAGGTCACGCCCTCCTTCAGCTTCATTTCCTTTTCTCCTGTTCAGGCCCTTCTACACCTTCCCCCCTCTAGCCCCTCCCCAGGCCTTTCAGCAGTCCTAATTTTTATAGTAAAACATCATGAAAATTATCTTCTTTCCCTACAAGGCCTTCCTGGTAGTAACAAGATATACATTGATTTATATTTCAAAAGACCTCCTTTCAACTTCAGCTTTAAAATATTTAAGACCTAAGATTTTTTCTAAATTCTTAGCTTTCAAGTCAGATAGAATATCTACTGAAAGTTATAATCTTCTTGGGAAAGAGTTACTTCCTTTTACCCTTCTGTGTCCAGGATTTTTGCTACCACTCTGCTAGAGGCCTCTCCTTTTAGTTGACACAATTCTTATTCCACCTTCCTCCCCCTCTGGAGTGCCAGCCCCAGCCCATTAGACCCCGCTCAAGACAAGCTGTGTCAAGTCATCCTTGCTTCACCCTCACTCCCAGTAACGACGCCCTTATGTGGCACTTCCTTGGCCTGTCTGCACTCAGTCTGCACCAGCAGGTCACCCACTCACTGTTACTCTGTGCATTCTATACCTTGTGCATTCAAATGCCAGAGTAAAAGTTAGATTCATGAAGACATATAAAAAAGGCAGGCTGAATTAACTCAAAGAGAATTTTATTGTAAGTGTGAGAGATGGAAATGGGACAATTAAGAGACTCAGTTTAATCCTCCCCTCCCCATTCTCTCACATTCTTCTGTGAAAATTGAATACAAGAATTCATTTTAGGGTCTTAAGAAGTACCCTCTTCTTACTTGTTGGATTTAGAATTCTTTGAGACCATTCACTGAACTATGTCCCGGACAGTGTACTAGATACCATGAGAAATAGTATAAAGTCTCAAGTGTGGCTATTAAGTAATGAAACCAATTCCACAAACCACATGTCACCATTAGTCTTATTACTTCATCATCTCACGATGTTCTAACCCAGTGGTTCTCAACCTTCCTAATGCCGCAGTGTATTTTCATTGTTCAAAAGGGGTTGCAACCCACAGGTTGAGAACCGCTGTTCTAGCCACATCCTACCTTCTAAGAAGAAACAATTCAGATAATAGAAATAATCTTTACTATATTTTAAAAGATAATAGCCATACTACCAAGACTCACAAAAACCAAATGCTTGGTATTGATAGTACTTACTCAAGGAATTACTTTAGAAAGCCATTTTCAATATGTGTCAGGAGTCTTAAAAATGTTCCCTTTCTCAACCAATGTCCCTAATCTAAACCACAGAACACATAGAACAATCTGAGTGACTGTTTTCTCAGCTCTCCCAAGGATGGTACTTGACTAGTACCATTCTAGAGGCAGACAAATGATGACTCATGACTTGCAATGGACGCCTTAGGACATTGGGTTTCTTTCCTAGGACCCCTGTTGAAAAGATAATGTCTGTCCTATAAATTTTTCTTGAAGAAATAGCTGAAAAACAAGACACAGATTTCTGTTCAAAACACATTAAAAATAAAAGGGGGTAAACAGCCCAAATCACTAAGAGTAAGTAGATGACTTGTTCAATCAACGCCCACCTACACGATGGGCTCTTGGGAAAGATTAAATGGTGTTTGGGGAGCCTGGTGGCCCCGGAAACTGTTCATGTTTAAGGTTGGGTGAAAAAACCAGGATAGCAAATTTGAATAATTTGATATCTAGAAGACAAAATCATACATTCATACATACGTAGACTGAAATACATTAAAATGTTAACCTCTGGGTGGAAGAATTATAAATAGTTTCAAAATGTGTTTTCTTATGGCCTTGTGAGGCCCATCAGAGGACGGCCAGGGGTGCTTAATAAGATTCAGATTCCTGAGCACCTCCCTGGACCCCATGAATCAGAATGTATGACTCTGAATGCGTGATTACAAGAAGGGGTTCAGGAGATTTCCAGACATTCTAAGTCTGAAAGCCCATGTTCTAGAAAGAGCGTATTTCTTTTGCCAGTTTTATGACTGCAATTTAAATGAAAATGAAGTTGTTCCAAGCTCCTCCTAGAGCAGAAACAAGAATGTCAAGACAATGGGAACCAAAGAGAATGAGTGAAGAGTAAGAATCACCATAATGCCTGGGCCCCAGACAGGGGCTAAATTTGCTATTTCTTGATAACATTCTGACGGCACTTTCTTCATTTGGTGACAGCAGAGTACAGTTTGAGGTCCTCCAGAATATCTTCCTTCTCTATTGCCTATTTTATGCAAAAAGAATAAGATAATAGAAAGCAACGACTCATTACATGAGATATGGATTTCCCCTTTGCACAGTGGAATTTATTGCTACCTCTTTTTCATGAGCAAACATAGATCATTTTAATGATTCCCCTGCAGTGTAATTAAAATCTGTTAAACATTACCATCTCCAAGGGACACTGGTTATTCTAGTCTCATCTCATATTGGTGCCCGTGGTTCAGTACTCATTAGAGTAAAGAAGCATCGACCCCCTAGGACACAGTGTGTTTTCCAATGGGCTTTGTTTCTCCTCTGTCCTTTGCTCGTAGACTAAACCAGAGAGCTGATTTCTAGATCTTTTTCCAGAGGGTAAGGACTTTTTGTTTTTGAAGAGTGTCCATATGAGGTCCAAACAACTGAGCAGAGTTTGTTTTACATGTTTGTTTTGAGGCATAGTCTGCCTTTTGAAGAAGTAACACCTTTAATAGGCTATTCTGTGTCTTTAATCCTGTCTCTGGGTGACAGAAGGGCATATAGTCACATTTAAATGGCTGATGCCTATGATTTTCTTGAAAGAGTCAGGCGACTACCAGCAGAAACAAAGGCATTTTAGTCCCCATTGACTTACAAAAGTTATTCAGCTTCTGATGCAACTAAGATCGTGGCCGTGGCGGTACCTGCTCCAGACGTCTGATCCAAATGTCAAAATACTTGGCAGAAAATCTGAATTTTGCTTGTGATGGACATAGATGTTTATAGTTACTGCCAGAGCCTTTTACTACTTTCATTTAAAAGCAGCGTTGAAATGACCAAGCACCAATAAACAAAATGTGGTAGATACATATGATAGAATATTATTTAGCCTGAAAGGAAAGGAAATTCTGGCACATGGATGCGCCTTGAGACCTTGGGCTAAGTGAAACAGGCAAACACAAAGAGACCTTGTATATTGCATGAGCCTTCTTAAACAGGGTACCAGAGGAGTTAAGTTCACGGACACAGGAAGCAGAATGGGAGTTGCCTGGCACTAGCGCGGAGAAGGGAATGAGTAGGCATTGTTTCATGGGTACAGAGTTTCAGTTTTGCAAGACAAAAAAAGTTCTGGAGGGTGGCTCCTGTGGCTCAAAGGAGTAGGGTGCCGGCCCCATACCCATATGCTGGAGGTGGCGGGTTCAAACCCAGCCCCGGCCAAAAATATATATATATAATAATAATAAAAATTTAAAAAGTCCTGGAGATAGATTATGGTGATGGTGCACAATAATGTAAATGTACTTAATGACACTGAAATGTATACTTAAAATGGTTAAAATGGCACATTTATGTTATGTACATTTTATCATAATTTAGAAATATAAATGCATTAAAACAAATGTTAATTGCTACATACCATAGACGAAATAACAACATGAGGATGTTGAGGAATATACACTAGATCCGGCCAGAGGGCCCCTGCAGGCATGGGGGAATGGAGCCTCCGTCTCTCTCACCCTACCGAGGGCCTTGAGGCAGATCCATCTTTCTTTCTTCCTGTGGTTGTGTTACCCACCAATTGGCCCAAAGCCCTCCTGGTGAAAGACTGTTGCCCAGTGGTCTTTACATTTGGGATGGAGTTGGTAGATGGTATCTATGAGAGCAACCAACCTGGCCTTCTCTTTAAAGGGATGAATGCCAGACTTTGTCCTTACAAATATAGGCTGGGGAGAATTTTGTCTTGGACACCTGCCACCTCTGTCAAAGCCAAAAGTCCTCTGGGCACACACCCAGCAGCCTCACACTGCCCCCACATGGCCTAGGGAGCCCCCCTGCATACACCACCTGTTACAACACAGCCCTCCCGGGAACCACCAGTCAGTGACTCCAGTGGTAAGAGTCTCATAACTTTTTCTAAGCTCTTAATAGCTAACGTGATTCCCCTCATTTTCTTATTTACCCTGCCCAGCTAAAAGTTGTGAATCTAACAACAGAACTTTTGTTATTCCACATGAAATGTGGAAGTTACATTCCCACCTTCAAATAGGGGACTCTGACTCCTGGGCCTAATCTTAGGTCAGGGTTATGAATTGATCATGTGTCGGGACTCTTCTGTTATCAAATAGGCCCCTCAGAGGGACAAGTTGTATCTCGTCCTCTCCCCTGCAGAGACCGCAGTATCTAGGTTTCACTGGGCTGCACTCTTTGTCTAGAACTCACAGATGCTTCTCAAGTGCTTTTTTCCCCTCTCTTCTTTGTGGCCTTCAGGGAACCCACAGCATCTGCCTGGATGCCTTTGGGGTCAAGAGCCTGGGGAAAGTGTGTAAATCAATCTTGAAGGAGGAGAGTAGGACAGACACCCAGTCGCACTCCTCCCCTGGAACCCTCCCTCCATTGCGGCTGTCCTGATTTGCCTTTTGGCTGATGGGATGCAGGCAAGAGGCCCCTCAGGACCATTTGCTCAGTCTGTCCTCAGGTGTGCCAGTGTGGATGGGCAACTTCAGTTTTGCAAAACCCTCTCTACTTAGCTCATTTTCTGTCCCTTTCAGAGCACCCTGGAGCTGGAGAAGGAAAGAATTCAGCTTTTATGCAATAACTTAAACCAGTACAGCCAACACATTTCTCTTTTCGGCCAAACCCTGACCACAGTGAGTAGTGAAGCTCTCTCCGTTTCTGGTATTCATGGTAAGACTCGGCAGGAAACCTTTCTTCAGCAGCCTACCTCTGCTTTCCTTGGCGCTGCAGTGCCACACACAGATTCACTGTGCCATCAGCAAGATTGATGTTGAGAAAGATATCCAGGCTGTGATGGAAGAAACCGCAACTTTATCAACAGAAAACAAATCTGAGTTCCTATTAACCGATTACTTTGTAAGTATGGGGTGGAAGGAAGTTGCATTAATGGGGAATAGTATCACATTCTGAGGGGCTCTTTTTTTGAAAAAGGGAGTTTTCAAAACTGAGGGGTTTTTTAAATGAAAAAACCAGAAGCAACTGTAAAGGAAACATCATGTTTTATAAATGAAAATGTTGATTATTTTCGTAGGCCATCTACCCCGCCCCCCAAAAAAGAGAAAACAAAGAAAACCAGAGCATGTGGTTTACAAACTGGGCACTGGAAACAGGCCCTTGGTATTCTCTGGGAAGGAAGAAAGTCAACTATGGTTTTAGACAGAATCTTCTTATTCAGTCTTCTGTAAAAGTAGCACCAGGCAGACACGTTTCGTGATCTGTAAAATCATTGTATATCACGTGGTGCTTATATTGGTTGTCTGCACTCATCTCATAATTTATGTGGGTCAGGGATCCAGGTGTGGCTTGGCTGAGTGCCTTTGAGTTCCTCCCAAGGCTGTGATCAGGGTGTCAGCCAGGGCTGCAGACATCTCAAAGTTCTTCCAGCATAAGACACGCTTGTAAGCTCACTCTCATGCTAGTAGCAGCCCCCCCCCGTGCGTGGGGGATGTCATTTTCTTGCCATGTGGGTTTTTTCATGTCTCAAAGCATGGTAGCCTGCTTCCCTCAGAATGAGTGACCCGAGAGACAGAGCTGGAGTGCCCAAGAATGATAGTCTTTTTTTTTTTTAAATTAACTTTTTAAATTTTAGATTGATATACGAGTACAAACGATTAGGTTACAATCTTTGTGGAATAATAGTGTTTTGGAAACTAATCTCAGAAGGGCCATTTTGTTATTGGAAGAAAGTCAGTAAGCACAGCATACACTCAAGGTGGGAGGAGGCAGGAGTCCTCGCAGAGGCGACTCATTACCAATACTTTTCATGGTCCCTTACCTTGAAAAACTTGGACTGAATTACCTGGTGCTGATCTTGAGGGCTTTTGGGTGATTCTATGATGCAATGAAAACCGATCAGTGTGCCTGGTCAGAGCCCAGGCATCTTGCCGCTTGGTTGCCTTAAGGAAAATTCATTGTCCTCTCAGGTCATGTCCTCAAAGATCTTGCCCTTTGTTACCCTCTTGATTTTTTTTTTTTTTTTTTTAATTTTGGACAAAGCCAGTGCTTGAGTGCAGTGGCATCATCATAGCTGACTACAATCTCAAACTCCTGGACTTAAACGATCCTCCTCCCTCAGGCCCCCAAGTGGCTGAGACTATAGATGCCCACGAGGATGCCAGGCTAATTGTTCTATTTTTAATAGAGATCAGGTTTTGCTCTTGCTTAGGCTGATCTTAAACTCCTAAGCTCAAGCAATCTCCTACTGCGGTTGCATCCGAGAGTGCTGGGATTACAAGGATGAGCCCCAGCCCTAGGCCACCCCTTCTTGATATTCTTAATCGTAGATTTTTAGGAGGTGGGCTGGTCATTTATCTCTAAAACCTGTAAAAGACATTCTTGGTAACTTTTCCCTGGGCCCTCTGCAATATTTTATTCAGACTTCCAATCTCCAGATTGGGATGTTAACCTCCTGGTCATGTCCTGTGATAGGGTTGAAAGTACAGCCTAAGCTGACATCCCTGGACCCTGCTCAGGGAATATGGTGGTGGGAGAGAAAGAGGCAGTTAGATTGGGCAGAGCAGTAAATCCTGACCAGCTCTCCCCTTCTCCACCCTCCACACAGCAGTAAATGAACAGCTATTTTTTTTGAGGTTTCCCCCACCACCACCACAGTGGCAAAGGCAAAATATATTACCAATGGTAATGTCTGTTGAAAGCAGGAAAAAAGGTTGAGATCTGAGTAGAAAGATTTGATTATGTGGTAAAAGTACTTTTTATTCTTTAAAATATCATAGGTGAGACCTGAGATGGGAAAATGTCACCCCCCCCAAACCTTCTACTTTCTTAAATGTCCCCATTGAATTGCCTGTCAATTAAAATAAGGGTCATTCTCCTCTCAAATTTGACTAATGTTCTATTGAAATGTAAGGAGGCAGCCATATGATTTGTCTTTAATTGACAGGCTCATGGGAATTTTTGGTTGCTATGAAACTTCAGTGCACTGTAATTTACAACCACATATCTGTTTTTTAAGAGAAAGGACTGTGTCTCAAAGTGAGTGAATAGGATTTTCTTGACATCTTTAAAGCAGAGCACCCCAATGTCTGACTTTATAGTAACTGGCAATAAGTGTAGGCTGGCTTTTATTCAGTGCTATGAAATTTTCATGGACCAGGGTAAGATAGGAGAACAATTTGAATGCAAAACTTGGAGGGCTAGTGACCACTATGAAATATCTGTAAGGTTCCTATCCAAACCATGGTCAAAAGATTGTCTCTCTAGTTTTTATAGACTCCTCCAGTAACTGACCTTCTTCCCAACATGTCTTTCGAAGAGAAGGACAAATTTAAGAAAGTTAAATGACAATAATACACCCAATCCTCAAGCTGATCCCGGGTCAATCTCTCCTGGAATTACATGTTTAAACAATAGGTGTCCCCAAACAACCAAGTGAACTCTTGAACTGGTATGAGAGCGAGGTGGTGATTTGCATTCCTCCAGCAAAGAAGGACTTCAGGTTGGGCTTAGGCATCCCCACAGCTAAGTCAGAGCTAACCTGAGTGTGTGACATCAGCGTGGGCCTCAGCTATGGGCAAACATGTAAAGGAATGGTAGAGAATCTGGGATCAAAGCAGTTGGGTTTCAGGAAAAACACTATTTCAGCACGGGCCTTTGTTATTTCTCAGTGTCACAGGTAAAACAGAGAAACTAAAACCAAATTTATTGAGTTGTTGTTAAGAATTACATTAACAAAGAATATAGAAACCTTTATAATGTAAAATGCAGACTATGTAAATAAAATAATTTTATATACAGTAGAAATTCAATAGCTGACCACCTCCCTACATTGACCATCTCCTTAAATTGACCTTTTCATAGGCCAGACACATAGCACATGTATACATCAGTACAGTAGGCCTAGTTCCTTACACTGACCACCACTATATGATGACTAGTTTGTTACAGTTCCTTGGTTGGTCAACTTACAGAGGTTCTACTTTATTGTATTTTTATATTTTCTCTAAATCCTCATGCTTCTCCCTCTTCATGAAGCTTTATCTAAAGCTAATGTCACAACCCATATTCAGAATCCTAGTTTTTCTCCTTCCTTGTTAAAGAAACTTGCCTCCCCCTCTTCCACGTTGAGTCCTTGGTTTCTCCTCCTCTCCACCAGCTGCCGTCCCTCTGCCACACGCATGCTTAGCCATCTCCCACCCCAACCCTACCATCCTAATTTTTTCATCAACCCTTGAAATATATACCTGTGAAAGCTCAAATGTTATTCACAGCTCCTCATAACCTGCCTAATAAAATTCCTACTTAGCCCTAAAATCTAGCCTAAACTACCAAGACAATGTTTTCTTTCACTATTTTTGCTAAAGCAACTGGTCTATTCACGGTTCCTGGTACATCTCGTGCAGCCCTCCCTCTGCCCTCTGCTTGTGCCATTTCTCCTGCCCGGAGTGCCCTTTGCCCTGCCCCTTCCATGTTCATGAATGGTCATGTTTTCTTGACTCTTTGAAGCTTTCCACTGCTCCTGCTCTTGATGTCCATACCGTTTGTGAATGCACCGATCTTCTATTGCTGGTTTTCTTAATGTTATGCTTCAAGGCCTAACTAAACCACAAACCAATTCTGGGCAGAGCATATGTGTTTCAGCTCACATGGTCCCAAGACTGAGCCAACACAGAACTCAATGAAATTTTCTTCCATCCATGAGGCAGTTGTAGCCCAAAACACATACATGACTTAACATTTGAACCATTAAAGGACTCTAACTTCAACAAAGGTTAATAAGAGAGCAGCATTTTATATAGCAAACACTGTGGATGCATCAAGAAACTAACTCAGTAAGGCTCATCCTCAAAGAGGAATTTGCTCCATTAAGGAAAGGCTTAGCAGGGACTCTTTCTCATTAACTAAGTCTAGAACAGGTAGAACAATGTGTGTAAAATCAAAGATTATCTTGATTTTATTATTATTTTTATACTTTTTTTTCTTTTGCAAAGTTAAATTCAGTCAAAGATTATTATTTACCAGGGACTTTTTCTCGTTAGCTAGGTCTAGAACAGGTAGAACAATGTGTGTAAAATCAAAGATTATCTTGATTTTATTTTATTTTTTACTTTTTTTTCTTTTGCAAAGTTAAATTCAGTCAGTGAAAGTCTCCGTGTAACTGGGAGTAGCAACTCTTACTTTTTCCCCTCAAGGAGGAGTACCCTAACAATGCAATGGAGAAAGGGAGACGAAAGTCTTTCATAAAACCAAAATTGTTGAGATTGCAAAGAGACATTGAAAAAGCCTCAAGAGACAAGGAAGGTATGTAATTATTTCTTTGAATGGCCACATCGGGGAAGTATTATGCTCAGAGGTTTCATTCAGAGTTAGGATTAATCTGCTTTTGCTGATTTGGGCAGGGATAATTTCATTTAAAGAGCTACATATCAAACCTAAGTTGTGTGAATAAAGAAAAATAAAAAAGAAGAAAGGAGAGAGCAAAAAAAAAAAAAAAAAGGAAAATGACATTCTGATCTATTTGTGAAACCTATAGAAGTACTATACTGCTATAATATTTTCAGGCATGTGGCATTTTACTTTATTTCTGCAATTGGCTGGAGTGAAAGAATTTGTTTGGTTTAAAACATGATAAATCTCCAGTGCATGGAACATTCGGGAGTTTTGTTTCTTTTTCCTAACTTTTATAATGATGTAAACGGCCATTCAAATTAAATCATTTGCTTGTAAGTTAGGCATGGTAGAACGTGAAGCAGCTCGACGGCAATGTAGATGATAAAAAAGGACTCTACACGTGTAATTCCGATTAGAGTGGTTTGTTTGATGTGGGTCACAGTGATTCACTGCGAGGTAATACTGGATAAGAAATCCAAGACAGAAACTGTTCAGTAGTATACAAATTTATGAGGCAGAGGCCAACACCCAGTAAATGCGAGGAATTGCTGGAATGGTTCGACCAAAAGAAATTCAAAATCTCATGTGAAAAAATAACAGTCAAGACACTTGAAGCACCAGCATTTCTCAAATTTCACTCGAAGAAGATAAAGATGAAGTTCATTTATCATTATTCATTCAGCAAAATATAATAACAACTACTTACAGAAACCCCCTTAGCCCATTAGGACGTCCTGCTGTGTCACTTCTAGGTTCAGGCTTCCTTTGGGGGTGACTGACTCCCCTGCGTCCCACTAGGACAGGATGAAAGGTAACTGAGAGTGTGATTTCATTTTCAGGCCTGCAACGGATGCTTAATACCTACTCCAGCAACTCCTCCTTCTCCGACACAAAGAGCCAGAGAGAGACGGCAGCATTAATGGACGAGGTGAATACTGGCAGAAAGCAGTTGCCTAGATTTATCGATGAAAGGGGTTATTTTTAGAGCACTTGTTTTCCGGCCCATTTGGCTCTGTTTGTCATTCCCTTCTCATGACACAGAACAATCCAGTAGGAAAGCTTACGGGGCCGGTTCCCTTATGAGAAGTTTGAGGGATCTGGAAAAACCACTTAGAAATGTTTGCTTTAGTGTCCTAGGGAAAGAACTGTGTCTAAAATAGTATTCTCCAAAATAGAGTCATTCTCTACTGGCCTAGAAACCACGTGCACGTTAACCCCGTTAGGAAACGTGAGTGAGATACAGGGTCTGCATTCAGAAAGGCCCGTGTTTGGATTTAGCGCTGCTCTTTCGAGGAACCTGGGACAGCTTCAGTTTGCTTATCTGTAAAATGGGATATCGTTACCTACCACTAGGACTTCTGCAAGGATGAAACATTACTTAGGAAATGCTAGCACAGTACTCAGAGGAGGAGATTAAAAATTAGTAATTTTTATTAAGATGCTAGTTCCCATTCATCCCCCAGCTAATATCAGGGTCCTTGGAGAGTAAAAGCAGAAAGGACAGATGGGGCCACACAGAAGAGGAGAATTTGGGGTGTGAGACAAAAGCTTGTGAAGAAACAGGGAGCAACTTTGGAGATGAGGGTCCCGGGAGAGGGGGACAGTGGGTTAGGGGTAGGGGGATAGTCAGAGGAGGCGGGGGAGGGGGGACTGTTAGCTACTGCTGGACTCCAGTGGCAACACAGACTCTCTTAGGGATGGACATTTGGGTTGCTTTGGAGGAAACCACATTGAAAGGGCAGTTAGCAAAAGACCTGTGAATTTTATGTAGGAATAACAATGAATACACATGTGTTAACCTATGTGTGCAAGACTTGGATTTTTGCTGTGATTAGAGTGATCAGAAATGGACTTCAGTTAATCTAAGAAAAATTTGGGACGAGAGAATTTTTTTTATAAATGTTTTGCAGGGAATAGGTAACTGGGCTAGTTTTTTTTTTTTTATAGGTATGAACAAAACATTTATATATTAATAAATAGTAGATAATAACATTATGGATAACTGACTTAAATTATACAAAAACTAGCATTTACTTTATGTTGCTTTACAAATTTTCTTTTTATAAAATATGTACTGTGAGATTGTCTCCAACTGTGCTGAGGTTAAACTAAGTATGTGATATTAGTTCCATTTTGTTATTTGCTGTAGGCAAACTTCCCACATTCTTTTTTTTTTTTTACATATACATGTGTTTATTAGGTTTCTACTTTTTGCCTTCACAAAATTAAAAAGGCTTAAAATTTAATAACAATAACAACGTTTAAGATAAGGACTAGAAACAAAAACCTCGTAAAGAACAAACGAAGATAAATACATTCATAAATCAGATGATCGCTGCATCAAAATATTAAGCAATAATAAAGTAATGCAAAGAAAGTAGCATTCACATTGTCAAATAAGAGTATGTCTATTATAGAATGCTTTGACTCTGAGGTTCAATATGGAGTCATCAGTTAACGTCTTCTTATTATTTTTTTCCCTAAAGTCTCAAAAAATAACTAATATTTATAAATAAAAGATAATTTCAAAAAACAGATCATACCAAATCTTATAGACAATAGAAAAAGAAGAAATACTTCAAAATCATTCGACTTAATCTGGATACACCTGATATTAAAATTGGAGAAAATATTATAAAGGGGAAATGACAAACATATTTCACTTATAAATGAGGATACAATATCCTAAACAACATATTAACAAGTTGAATTGAAAATTAATGTTTAAGTAATGTACTTTGGTCAAAATTAAATCCAATTTGTGTGAGAATTAGTCACTTTTTTTTTCTGGGCTAGTTTTTTAACCTTGTATATAGCTCAACTTGTGAAAGTGGGTGCCTAATAATTCTGCTCAAACTGGCAATTTCTATACTTCCTTGGTGAAAATAGACACACGCAGCCAGTGAAATAAAATTCACTGTTGAACTGAATTTTAGGTACAGGCTTCCTTTAGCGGGGGTGCTGTTGCAGAAGCAAACCTAACACTTCTTGTGAAAAGAAAGGCCTGCGTTCTGTTCTCTGGGGAACAGAGGTCTAACACACCTGCAATGACACATGGCTACGGTTTTTATGAAATTATAAAACAGACGTAGGACATTTTCTGCGATAGCACAAAATGTTTAGTTAACTAATTCAATGCAAATAGTAGTTACCAAAATGACGTCATAAAGAGTATTTTGTGATGCCATTGAGTTGTATATTTATTTGATTGTTCTTATACAGCATTTTGTCACTGTCATTACCATCAAAGAGCATGTATTAGGATCGTCTGGGTACACAACTAGCCTGATGCACACAGTGGAGAGTGAGGGTGGGAGAGGATTTGACCCCTGAACTTCTGATGTGTATGGTCTAGTTGAGGAGCAAGTATGAACCTTGAAATAATGGATGTTAAGTATCCATGTAACTTCCTTCCACATGCTCTGCATCTGGGTGGAGGGAAACTAGTGGTTTTGGCAGATTTTGTGTTACCTATGGAAGGTTTCTTGGAGAAGGGAACTCTGTTTCATTTCAATTCTTTCCTATTTCAAATTTGGAAGTGCCATATTTGAAACAAGAATGTTAGCAAGGCATGTAGTGAGAAATTGTTGCGATAGCTGAAGGCACTTAGATTAGCTAGTATATTCAGAGACTGGAGAGAGTACCACAGGCAAAATGAACTAGACTTGCTCCATGATACTATCAGATGAAGACTGGGTCTCATGGTTGCAGGGGTGGGGGACCTTTTGATTTTGTGCGAGGTCAGCTTGCTTCACAATGTGGTGGATTAGCCCAGGGATTAGAGACTCTCTCCCAGCAACTGGAGCTGTTCTGACCATGGCTGTGCCTCTGTGACAGGGAAGTTAGGGTTAGGAACCCCTGGGCTGGAGGCTTGGAGAAGAGACGGATCATGGTGAGGAGGATGTTTGCTGTATATAACACGTTCCTGTGTATAATGCACACTTATATTTTTGGCCCAAACTTTAAGGAAAAAAAATCTTTCAAAGAGATTTTCCAGTAATTTTTGTAAAAATATCAGCAAGATTTATAGTGCCTGTCTAAAGTGTATGAAGAAAAATATTTTGCTTTGTTGGCCGAAATAGCTTTCACTGCAGTGAAAGTAACAAAACTGATTACCATATTCCAGGGTATTATTTTACATGGATATTATTATTGCTCTCTAGAGTTACACTTTTAACTCATAAGCATAAATAAAAGCATGAAAACCATCTACCTAGGTATAGAAGTAGTACTACCCATGTACAATATGCATCCTTATTTTTCCTTCAAAAATTTGGGCAAAAAATTACGTTATACATGGCAATGTATTCATTGCCACAGGGTACTGAGTAATCCACTAAAGTTTCCCATTCACCCCATTTACAAGATACTGAATAAGACACACTCAACTAAGACTTCCCCTAGACTGCTTAAAGGTCTCCCCATTTTCTTCTCTTTAGCATTTTCTGAGCATATCTGCCCATGAACTGAACTTGTACCCTTCTAGCCCCTCTGTCATTGTGAAAGTGATCCTGATATTCCTTACCTATCCAGCTCGGCCTCATTTTCTAGCACTTTATTCACATGGCCAAATGATGTCTCCACAGAACAACTTGAAACTAGACCTTTTGGAAGCGAACTCCTATAAACTGTCATCAGTGTTAGCAGAACTAGAGCAAAGACCTAAACCCAGCCATCCCTGCAGTACCTCCATCTTCAAGTGGAAAGAAAAGGTAAAATTCAAAGAGATTGGTTGTCATTTTTATTTTGGCCGGGGCTGGGTTTGAACCCACCACCTCCAGCATATGGAGCCGGCACCCTACCCTTCTGAGCCACAGGTGCTGCCTGGTTGTCATTTCTTGATGGAGCCTCCTGGGTGGAAGTGGTTGCTATTAAAATAGCAACAGGGCAAAAACTGCTATAAATTATATGTGTTATATTCTGTTCCAAGTCTTAATTACAGTATTTTAAGATAAATCTATTTTTATTCCTTTTGAGCACAATCATAAGAGCTGGACACGACTGAATACATTCTTTGTAGACTAAATTACTATGAGGAGTTAAAAACACTTTGGATTTCTTTTCTCTGTCCTTATACCTTAACTTTGTCCTTAGAACATGCTTTTATAGTAAAATTTCCTCTAAGGTGAAATTTTGGTATTAATACAGATCTAAATTGTAAGATTTTGTAGCATGCATTAGTCTCATCTGCTGAACAGAGTGGATAATGCTTGAATACCAGTTTAAAGCATCACACATCTGTATTTTCCCAGGGTTGCACCCTTCAGGAATTGGGTGGGTAAAAGTGCCTTGTGCTATTACCTGCAGCTGTTTTCCATTTCCTCAGTCAGGAGCAGAGCTGTAACCATCCGTGATGAAGGGATGGTTTTCTTTCCAAGAGGCTCAGGAGCTCTGAAATAATCTCAGTAATGTAGACAGTCATGATAATTTCATTTGTATGAAGCCAATTCAAGTTGAATTTGTAGAAATAACGCTATGAATGTTATTATTTGGCCTAGACATTCAGGTCAGAATTAGAAACACAGGCTATCAAATACAATAATTGTCTAATTCTGAAAATATTAAGGCTTCAGCTTAAAGGTAAAAAGTAATAGGGCTTAGAAATGTATTATATACCTTCTAATGTAAAGACAAAAACCCCACAAATTTCTGAGGAAAACAGCTATAGAAGATTTTCACAGTTATTTATGATAATAGCATTGGTGAAAATGACTTTTTTTTTTTTTTTTAACTATTTGAACAGGAGTATACTCATAGTTATGTTAGAATATCTCGGCCTTTTTCCATGAAGAGACTAGAGAATGTTGTGAGCACGGCATCTTCCGATGGCCAGAGAAATCCAAGTTCTTCACCTTCAGGTAATCCCATGCCCAGAAGAATCTGGGGCTGGGTCCTATTGACAAGGCGCATTGCAACATTTAAATTTTACTTTTGGAGCCACATAGACCTGTATGTGTTGAAAGAAATGTATATTTCCATTGGGACTAATTAATTTGTTATAATCTGTAGCTTTATGTACAAATGTAATCACAAAGGTGGGAAGAAGTCAAGCAGAGTAGAGCTTTGGGAAAAGTATTGTGTAATATGGGAGCTTACCTCAGACATTCACTGACTGGCATCCACTTTACTCAAATGGCCTATAGTTTGTCTTCCATGTAAACCAACCCTACACCACTGTGAGGAGCTTTCCAGCTCTGTCTCCATAGCCTCCTCCAAACTCCCGTGGAAGGCCTATCTTCTCTGCAAGAAATATGGTGATCCAGGCGGTTTGCTAAGGCTACACTTGGGCTTGGAGCTAACTCATAGCCTGCAATCCCCTGTATTCAGGCATCTTACTTTCGTCATTCATCCATCCACACCCCACTGCCCTTCACCTTTCAACACAGGCCCCCATGTACATACACACGTCACTATCCTGGATTGTTCAACTATAACCACTATAATCTAAGTTCTCTTGTTTCTTGATTAGAAATTGGCAAAAAGAGTTTCAGTAAACCAGGACCACACAATGTGTTAAACAGTTGCATTGTTTGAGAAGCAGTTCCTTAAGCAACTAGCGTGCGCTCTAAATGTCCCTTTTCTATAGCTGAAGGTCAAGGCTAGTATGTTTCCCAAAACATGTAAGCACATTAACCAATGTTGACTAAACTCATATGGGAAAAGATACTAATTTGTCATCCTTACCACTATTATTACTATAATGACATTTTCGTCCTGACTTGTTACTTCCTATATTATAATGTAGTTTTTGATTAAATAATATATATATTCCATACATACAGAAAGTAGATCATACATGGGTTACTGAAACAAAGAAGGAAAATTAGGCAAAATTACAAACTTGGCTTTTGAGCAATTTCAGTATATTTAAACTCTGCACCATACAGTTAAATAACCAAAGACTGCTGGTGATGATTCATCTCCCCTGCTAACATAGCATGATCATTATGATTTAATCCGACTTTCAGCCTCTGGTGTGGCCCAGCTCGGCAACGGTCTTTGCAAAGCCTTATATTCTTTTCAAGCCAGGCAAGATGATGAGTTGAATTTGGAAAAAGGTAAGAGTCATTTTCAATATTTTAATTGCCTTCCCATGCTGATACCCTCAACGTGAATAAAACTGTCTTACACAGCAGCCTTAAGAGTCACTAGTACGTATGTCAAATCAGTTCAGGCTTATCTTAGAAGATAAAAGTAAAGCACATCAAAAACTAAAGCTTGCATAAGGATAGTTGCTAACATTTATTCTGTATTTACTGTGTCAGACAATGTTGTGGGCAAATTGTCCGATGTAATGCTCCTAAAAGCCCTCTGCCGGAAGTAATGCGATTTGTTCCCATTGTAGAGCTGAGGAGGCTGAGGCGCAGCAAGGTTAAGTATTTTGGCTAAGGTCACAGACAGTGGCAGCACAGGATTCAGACTCAGAAATGCAGTCATGCTCCTGACCACAATGCTACAAGGCTGTCCAGGCTGTCAGTCATGGACAGTCATTAGAGATGTAACCCACCTTTTTGTGTTTCAGAAGCTGGACACACAGCAATGGGAAGTGGCTTCCTCTCTTCACTTCGTGGGAGGGCGAGTTCTAGAACCTGGGTTAACTGACCCGCAGTTTAATGTTTGTTCCTCTTAGCCCTCAGGAAACCTTTTTATAGCCCATCTAAAGAATGAGACCCTCTTCTTTGTGTCCCAGCTTTTTAGTTAACATGGAAAGGTCCTATGTAGTAGGTTATATAAGCCTCAACATTATTGAAAAGAAAAAGTCTGCAGCTTCAATTTTCTTTATGTGTCCAGTGAGTAACCCATTAGGACATCAGTGCTAAGGCAGAGATCTGGAAATGGAAGCGTTAGTGAGAAAGGGTTACGTCATAGGTGAATGCTTATACTCATGACTGGGACATAGCTCCCACAGCCAACAGAAAATCAAGATAGATTTTGTAGCCAAACAACAGGGACACTACATATTGGCTTATTTATTGGGTGTCTCCTTTCCAGGGTACCAGTCACATTTCTCCAGGCGATTACTTTTCCTCCTCTATGGACAAAAACGTACTTTGCAGACGCCCTCTGAACCCATGCCTTCTGTATTCCTGTTACATAGTTCACAGCAAATTATCCTGTTTGTTCTCAGCTCCCTGTTGGTTGCAGAGCTACTTACGCTGGGTATTTTGAGTAGCAACAGCAGGGGCTTAGGGAAGCTGGTAATATCATTATAAATCATTTGCTTGAATTCCTGTTGATAGATTGTATCAAGCAATCTACTCACCTAAGCAAAGCCTTTAGAGGGAGAACTTAGGCTGAGATTCCTCTCCTATAAGAATAAATCATGATTAATGACTAGGAAAAGATAGGGAGGGGATGACTAGTCCCTTTTGCCTTAGAAAGAAAATAGGTGGGAGAAAGAATGAAAAAAAAAAAAAAAGACTGAAAAATTACCTCAAAATGATGCTAAGGAAAAAGTAGCTGTCAGACCCTGAAGTAAGCAGAGGTTTTCCCCGGAAGCAGCCAGAAGGAAAGGACTCCTTGAAAGTTATTTAGCCAAAAGCCTAGGGGCGCCAGACTAAGTTTTGGAGTTATTAATATCAGAATTAAAAAAAAAAAGATGGGTGGCACCTGTGGCTCAGTGAGTAGGACACTGGCCCACCAAGGGTGGCGAGTTTGAACCCAGCCCCAGCCAAACTGCAACAACAAAAAAATA